TTTCCTGATCCCAATTGTTATGCTGACTGTGGTGTTCCATCAGAAATAATCCATTCTGAAACTGCCCTTGTAACTGAAGAAGAGAAGCAAATATTTCAGTTGCATCATGGAACGCTCTATGGAAACTTTGAAGAGCTGGAAAATCAGAAGTTCAGTTTTAACGTTGAGATCAGTCCTCCCATTCCTCAGGACCTGCCTGAAAGTGAACAGCAACTTATAGGAAGAGAGGGAACCAAAGAAACCAAGTCACAGCCATTTGGGGCAGGCATTGATGTGGTGGGCAAAAGCGAGGATGCGGCTGCTAAGGAAGGCCATTCCATTGAAGTGATGTTGCATTGCAGCCCATCTGCAATGGAAGACGAGGCTTCAGACATACCGGTTCATTTTGATGAGGAAGAGAAAAGTGAAGGAAATCAGTTTACCCTTCCTGGGGCTGGCATTGTAATCATGATCACTGAGGCTGAAGATGATCAGGATGAGGAAGAAGAATCGGCCCCTCCCTGTGAAATGTTTGCATTTCCCCAAGCCATCAAGCAAAAAGGGAAGAAAAAAAGTAGCAAAAACAAAACTCCCACTGCAGGGTGCAACCACACAAAGGAAGACCAAGAATGCTCCCAGGTCCCATCTTCCTTTGGCACCAACAGCCAGGAACACTGGACTTCAGAGCAATATGAAATGCTGTTGATTGAAACAGCTGCCTCGCTTGTGAAGACAGCCATCCAGTCATCTGTTGAGCAGCTTGTCAATGAAATGGCCTTGGAGCAAAATCAACAAAACAGTGTTTTATGATCATGAGAGCCTCTTTGTGAATTAGAGGCAGGCCTGCAATTCTGTCAGGCAATGGAAGCATTTGAACAAATTGGCTTGTACTAGGAAGGAAAGTACCATTTGGGTTTTCTTTGTCCATTGCCAGCACTGTTTGATCCATCCTTAATGACCAGTTCAGTATTAATGCTGTGAGGAAATGTTCCAGATGTCCTGAAGTATTTAAACTTAGCATGAGAGATTAGGGAGGGTCTTAATTCCTGAGATATTTGCAGTATCTGTGATTAACTTAATTTTGCATGTTGGTATAATGGATGTATATCGTATTGTATAAACAGCTTGTAAAAACAAGGTGGGAGGGTCTTTTGCTGCATGGTGACCTGTCTTAATGGTTTACTCTCTATAGTAGATCTAGGAAAGACACCCATTTCCTCCCTTTCCTTTCTTCTCAATTTATTTATTTTATTTGCAGATATCGAATTATTCAAGTATTATTGTCAATGATTGAGCACTTTTTTTTCTACCCCACTGCCTTTCAGATAAGTTTGACCTTTCTTAATTTTTAGCTGAAATGATAGGAACCGGTGTTCCACATCTGGAAGTCAGTAGCACAGGTGAGTTCCTACCAGTTCAGACCAATTCAGCCAAACCGGTAGTAGTTTGCTGGCCTGGGTCACCAGAACCAGCAGTGACCCAGGCCTGCCACACCTCCGAACTGGTTCCCCGGTTGCCACAGCATGTTTTCCCCCCATTTTTTTATGTTCTGCGCATGCACAGGCCTATTTATGGGCAAGTGCGCAAGTGCACGGGCAGGAAATTGCACGCGCACCGAACTGGCAGTAATGCCAGCAGCAACCCACCCCTGGTCAGTAGGTTGGAGAAATCTGGCTCCATGGCACGACAAAACCGCGAAGCCCTTATCCGCGGAGACATAAGCGCGAAGACTAATTCGCGCCGCTCAAAGCGCTAAGGAAAAATGCG